CACTCTCCTGGTTTCAGCTGTAACTGTTTTCCTTCCTAGTAGCTGGTGCAGTGCTGTGGTTTGGCTTTAGTCTGAGAAGAGCACTGATAACACACCAATTTGCTGCTAAGTAGTGCTTACTCCGATGAAGGACTTTTTTAGTCTCATGCTCTGCCAGTGAGGAGGGACATGGGAAGTCGGGAGGAATCAGAGACAGGACACCTGACCCAAACTAGCCAAAGAGGTATTCCATAGCACAGCAAGTCATGCCTGGCGGGGGGGGAAGCTACCCAGAAGGCCCAGATCGCTGCTTGGGTTGGGCTGGGTATTGGTTGGCGGGTGGTGAGCAGTTGTATTCTCTCCCCTTGTCATTTCCCTTATCATTATTATTATTTTCATTAGTAGTAGTATTATACTTTAGCTATTGGACTGTTCTTATCTCAACCTATCTCTTATATTCTTTCTGTTCTCCTCCCTTTCCTATCCGGAGAGGCAGGGAAAAGAGGGGAGAGCGTGAGCACGTCTCTGAAAGTTCCCTAGTTCCCCCTCCTGCAACATATCTGCTGCTGTTTGCAGGCTGGGATCTGACTGTGCTCTGATCTCTTTGATTTTCTCACAGAAGCTAAGACCTGCATTTATACACCCAAGCTGAAGAGAGCAATGAACAACCGGCAAAACCTGTATGGAAGTACAAATACAGAGTATCTCATGCTAGATCATCCAAAATACATTAGACATAAAAAGCTCATTCAGAAATCCTGCTACAATTACATTTTCAGTACAATACAGCAGCACTGTATACAAACAGCTTGAGCTGCAGTCTATTGTTGTCAATGGAAATTTTCGAGCAACTTTGATGAAGGTGTTCTGTGCCCTAAGGAAAAGACAGGGTTTTAACAAATATTGCAGTTGCCATGATCTGAGTAAAGTATATTAAAATAACTGGAATGTAAAATATAAATCTGGAAAATACAACATAGGCTTCTATAATTTAATTTGAAGTGACATAAATTAGTCTCATATCCATCCAATCTAATCATATGTTCTGTGTACAGAGGAATACTATAATTTAATTACTCTGGATTTAGAAAGTATAGTAAAATTGAGGAAGGAAATGGTTATGTTTTCCTCTTGTAGTTGCTCTGAAAAAAAATTCTTCTGTTTACTTGGAAGTCATATGCTTCTCACAGACATTTATCTTTACTATGTTAAAGATATTATGTATCTTTAACAATAACAGGATTATCAAAGATCACCATTCTCCCTGAGCTGCACAATACATTTTGTCAGTGCTGAAAGTGGCTCTAGTCCTAGACCTGGACTTCCACAGTTCTCCCTGGGAAACCAGGCAGTCCGCCACACTAGGAATGATGGTACATTCCTACCCTCACCATTAAGTTAATCTTTTCACATAAGTTAAGCTCACTTCTGTTTCAGCATCCAGCCCCAGAAAACTATTATACCCTGATAACAAAGTGCCACCATGAGAGTCTGAACTGCTGACCTAAATCCACTCTCTCATTCCTCCAGGTTCCCTCAGAGGACTATCAATCACAGCTATATGACACCCTGGAATGTACATGATTCGCTGATGAGAAACCCAGTGAGTATATTAGTGCTTTATGTATTTACACAGGGTCTCTCTGTAAATGCAGCCAAGCTCCATAAGGTACTGCATGTAAGCAGGAAACAAAACACATGGATTTTGCAAAGGACAGAAGAGAGGTATCAGCACTAGGATATGTGTGTCTTTGTGTGATGGTTAGGGATGCTGTAGGGATACCTTTTAGACAAGGCAGAAGATTTCAAGCAGTTTTGAAGGCTGACTATTTAACCAAATACATACTGGCACTCCAAGAACTGCTAGATGCTACATTACTCTTACTTTCACCATATCCTTTCAAACCAAGCTTTGACTCAGTCTTTAGGTCTGAATCTCATTCTAGCTTTAATATGGACTTCAAATGTAAGAGTACACAAAGTTCCTACCTTAGAAAGCTACAGTATGACGCCGTCAAGTATTTTGATTATTTGAACATATAGGACTCAAAAAATAGGTAGAGATGGTAATGTTTGAGAACAGTTTTGCTACTGAAAGCATGAGAATACAGGTATTAGGCAGCAGGCAGTCATAAAACATGGCATCCCTTAGGGATCATTTACACGGCCACAGGAAAGGCACAATGAATGATTTCCAGAAATACTAACTAAAGATGCAAGATATAAATGCACCATCAGTAGAATAAATGCAAACTGAAGTCGAAGTATGATATGAAACAAGTTAGAGGGATTCTTCATCAGGGACTGTAGTGATAGGACAAGGGGTAATGGGTTTAAACTAAAACAGGGGAACTTCAGGTTAGATATAAGGAAGTTCTTCACTGTGAGGGGCTGAGGCGCTGGCACAGGCTGCCCAAAGAAGCAGTAAATGCTTCATCCCTGGCAGTGTTTGAGGCCAGGTTGGACAGAACCTTGGGTAACATGGTCTAGCGTGAGGGTTTGGAACTAAATGATCTTAAGGTCCTTTTCAACCCAAACTATTCTATGATTCTATGATCTCAGGCTCTATCCAGGTAACTGGACCAACAAGATGATAGGCATATTGTAGCTGTAAGTATATTTCATACAAAATAGTTTGTTGACTGTAAATCTATCAGCAAAAGGCAAAGTAAATATGTGAAGAGCAAAATGCAAGATGGAAAAAGTGAGATAGATATTGTTAGATTCAGGGGAAAAATGCTATAAACAGTAAGCAAAGCTCTTTGATTTGCACTGTTTTCCAGCCCATAAACCCCTAATATCTGCCAGCGTTTCATTAAAAGCTTATAAACTACCCAGCATGCCTGCTGCTGCTTAAATATATTGCTAAAAAGCATTGTCGATGTTGCAGACCTGGTATTTTGCAATGTTTCAAAGAAACCTTGTGCATATAAAACTCAGGCATATTACTGGAAGAAGTGTGGATTACAAAAGTAGCATCTTAAGCTCTAAACCTAATTAATATTAATCGCTCAGTAGCAGCAGATTTCTCTCAGCAGAGATGTTGGTATCAATACTGCTAAAATAGAAAATACTAATATTTCAGTGAAAATTAGTATTTTAAGAAACAAGTGTTGTGGACAAAGGATTTAAGAGAAGACTTCTACCATTTTGTGAATTGAGTAAAAGGAGTAAAAGGCATGACCTTCCACAAAGGATTGAGAGTACAAGGTGTTTAATGAAGCCACAATAGCCCAAAGGAATAATCTGTAAACGCTAAACTGAGTGATACCAATATCTGGCAACACTAAGACTGACCAGACCAACAAGTGTTTTGGCTGAACACAGTCTATTCTCAGCATCAAAATCTGAGACATCAGGCCTCTAAGGACAAGTAACTCCAGCACCTTTCTTATTCCACAAAAAAATTATATTGAATCAATCAAACTTTTTTGTTATTACCAGTTGTCCTGAACCAAGCCTGGAGGGATCAGAACATTAAGAATCCCATCTTTCTTAAGATCACCGTATTTCAGGGCTCACTCACACTTGAGCCCGAACACAGGGCAGCTCCAACAGCCAGAACCCATACCTATGAGGCAATGTCTGGAGGCTCCCAGACATCTGCCTGCCCAGGTCTGAAGGCTTTCAAGTGAATGATCATGTACTCACTTCACTCGTTCTGCATTGCCATCACTGCAGCTTTTCTCATAGATACAACTCCAACTTGTTCTGACAACAGGACATGCAGATTCATTTCACACATCACACAAGTAACTGCATATTCCTCTGTTATTAAGATCAAACATCAAGCTGGTGATTGATTACAATACAACACAATGGGCAGTAAAATATACCTGTTACCCACGCAAATGGCTTCTCTCTTAACTAGCAGCGCACTCCACCACCAGGTGGATAAAGAAGGTAAAAATTCAGCACCTTGGCACAGCCTTGCCTCTGGAATAACATTAGAAACTGTCTAATACAGAGGTAAGAACCACTGAGAGGAGCGTTAGAAGACTGAGTGACACAAAAGAGCTGTATCTGAATCATATGAGATTCCTGAATATGTTAATGAAAACTTTGTTTTACAGGTATAAGCCTAATAGAAAAATAAATAAAAATGGCATAGCCTCTCACTAGCTTTGTAAATTCAGACACAGCCGGTACGATCAGCATCTATTTTCATGCCACTCACATACTAGGTGCAAACGTCAATTACCTCTGTCTAGAAGTAATTTGCTCAAGCTGAAGAAAATAAATTGTGATTTAAGGAAAAAAAAAAAAAGGATCTTTTTCTCTGCTAAATGGTTTGGGCTTTCTTTTTCCTCCGATCCTCAGGATCTTGAGTTCACTTCCCTTAGAGCAGTAGTGACCCTGTTACAACAAATACCCTCTATGAGAGTGCTACCAACCCTCCTTTTTTTCCTGCGTTTTGGGTATCAGCTTGCTGTGACACTCAAGACAGAGCCACACGGGTGGTTTTGGTTTGTTTGGTTGGTTTTTTACTTGTATCCTTATTGTTGCTTGCCTTGAAAACAAAAAATAAATCATACTTTAGTCCTTTTCTAACCAATTTCGGATGACAGCAGAAACCATCAACCTGGCAGGCGGCTGGAAGCAATGATCCTTAAGGTCCCTTCCAACTCAAACCATTCTGTTATACTCTGGGCGAACAAACTACACCAAATAGCAGAGGAACAGGAATGAATGATAGGCTGGTTGCGCTGACACGGTTCCTAGCAGTATAAGCTCAGAAGGCTACGATGAGGAACGAGCGGAAAGGGTCTCCAAGCTCTCCACCTCGTTGTGCCGGAGGGGTTCTCCGGCGTTACCGGACGAGCCGCTGGGACCCCTCTGCGGCCGTTAGGCGGCTCTCCCCACTCTGCAGACGTGGCGCCGGGCCGGGCCGGGCCGGGCCCCGCTCCGCTGCTGGCGGCCGCTGCCCAATCGCATCGGCGCCGCTGGCCGGCCAGGGGAGGAGCGGGACTGGGGAGCGGCGGGGTGGGGCGGAGCCGGGCTCGGCGGGCGCCGGGCAGCGGAGGGGTGAGGGCTGGTGGGTACGCGGCGGGGTATGGGGGCCGGCGGGGCGCGGTGGTGTCTAGCGCTGGCGTTGCTGCCGCTGTTGCCGGGAGGCCTGGGCAAACCGACAGCGCGGCAGGAGCGGGCGCGGCAGCACGAAGACCGGCCGGGCTTCCAGTACGACCACGAGGCCTTCCTGGGCAAGGAGGAGGCGCGGAGCTTCGACCAGCTCAGCCCGGAGGAGAGCCGGGAGAGGCTGGGGTAAGAGCCGCGGCAGCAAGGCGGCGGCCTCCGGAAACGTGGCAGCAGAGGGAGGGCCCGGAGGGGCGGCGGGGCAGGAGCCGCTGTTCCTTCGGCGAAAGGAGACCGGCCGGGGGGGTAGGGGGTGCCGCCCGGCCCCGGCCGAGACTGGCCCCTTTCCCTCAGGAGGGGCTTTTGGAGTGGGTCCTTGTAGCGCAGAATGGGTAAAAGGGACCTCTGGAGATCATCGAGTCAAAACCCTTGCTAAAGCAGGGTCACCTAGAGCAGGTTACCCAGGAGTGTGTTCAGGTGGGTTGTGAATATCTCCAGAGGACTTTCCACAACCTCTCTGGGCAGCCCGTTCCAGTGCCACCCTTAAAGTAAAAATGTTTTTCCTCATATTGACATGGAAGTTTCTAAATTTGAGGTCTTGCCCATTGTCCCTTATCCTGTTACTGGGCACCACCAAAAAGAGTCTGGTCTCATCCTCTTGACACCCACTGTTAAGATATGTGCATGCATTGGTAAGATCCTCTCTCAAGTCATCTCCAGGCTAAATAGGCCCAGTTCTCAGCCTTTCCTCATTGAGATGCTCCAGTCTCCTAATCTGCATAGCACTCCACTGGACCCTCTCCAGCAGTTCCTTGTCTTTCTTGAACTGGTGAGCCCAGAGCCAGACACAGTACTCCAGATGCAGCCTCACAAGGGCAGAGTGGGTGGATAACCTCCCTCAACCTGCTGGGCACATTCTTAATGAACCCCAGGACACTATTAGCTTTCTTGTCCGCAAGGGTACATGTCTGGGTCATGGTTAAGTTTCCACCAGGACTCCCAGGTCCTCCTCCACAGAGCAGCCTTCTAGCTGGCCAACTCCTAACCTGTACTGCTGCATGGGGTTATTCCTCCCTAGGCACAGGATCCTACACTTGCCTTTGTTCAGCTTAAATTCCTCTCAATCCAGCTCTCTAGCCTATCCAGGTCTCATTACTGTACAGTCAGTGATATCTCTCCAGTTAGACTTCTTTCACACCTGCTGATTTTACAATGCAACCAACAATTTATCGCTTCCATATTTTTCTCTCCTACCTTTTCTGGTCTTACAGCAATAAGCTTTGTGGAGGGAGCTGCTGTGTGTGGTGCTGTGCTGTGTCTACCAGACCTCACCCACTGCTGGAGGGTTTTGCTGCTACAACTCCTTATCTCCGGGTCTCTTGCGTGGACCGTATTAGTGTGAATCGAGTTTAAACTATTTCCTCTTTTATAGCTCTATTTATAAGTCCGCTTGAACCTATCTTCCCATAGCTTTTCCATGACTTACAGTGTTGCTCGTGCTTCCATGCTGCGCTTCACACCAAGAGTAGGGTCCATGCAACAGTTACCTTATTTCACTGCCTCTCCCTTCTGTGCATCTAAAGAAAACCAGATCACTAATTAGAACCAAGTTTAACAGTAGTTAAAGAAAAACCCTTTATATAATTATTAACAAGAAAATTGTTTAAAACTTCTGCATGCTTTCACTAAGATTACCTTTGCCTTCCCTTCCCTTCCATAGAGAGTGGTACTTGATGTCTGTCTAGTTCCACCATAATCTGTTAGTGCAGTATCACTGTTACCTCACTGACTAACCTCTTGATGCACTGGAAGCTGTCACTGCTATTTACATGTATCTCAGTAAGTAAACAGATAAAGTGGTTATCAGAAATGAGCATACATGATCTATGACTTACATTCTCATAAAGCATATCACTAAAATGGACATGCCTTTTTAAAATTGATCTACGCTTGTACTGACCTGGGAGTGCTCCTGCCCTTATGACAAATCCCATGACAGGCCATCCCTTCTCCCTGTCCTGCCACACTGGATCATTTGACAAGGGAAGAATTGCATATTGCCCAACTAATGTGCCGTATCACAACTCATTTGGCTTTCAAGAAGCATGACAATCCTGGTGCAGCATCCAAGGACTGCGTTAAGAGGCTGGGGATGCGATAAGAAGGGGAGTGGAGCTGCAGTCCTCTGAACCTTCTCCCTGCCATTTCTTGTGTGCCTATCGTTTTCAGAGAACACAAGATTGCTACAGGTCCTCACAATATAAATATGTGATATCTAAATGTCTCTGGTTTGTATATAGGCTAAAGCCAGAGTTTAATCAACAGGCAGCTGTACTCTCATCAGGTGCAGAGGAGAAGCCTTCCTTTTCTAGCCACTTTGTAGCAATGATTTCCTTGCCCCTGCTGTCTTTCATCATCCGAGGTGTTTGTCTGGCAGCTTGAATCTCTATAGCAGCAGTTGCATGTACCTGTTGCATGTGCCTACACTCTAGCTTCTTTATTATGATTCGGGATACTAATACTGACTGTAACCCTACATCATTTAAAGGGAGAAAGTAAGCTTGCAGGTATTACACACTTGCACATGTCAGTTCCTATGTATGAGCTGGAATTTTGTGTCTGTTAACATGCTCCTTGAATTTTTGCTGTATTAACTATTTAAAATAGAGACACTAAGGCTTTTCAGTCTGACATTAGCTCCACTGCAAAGCTTAGAATAAGCCTGAACTATTTTACAGGTGATTATCAGTATAAAAAATGAGGTCCACAGTCCGAATATCATCTTATCATAGAATAGTTAGGGTTGGAAAGAACCTTAAGATCATCTAGTTCCAACACCCTGCCATGGGCAGGGACACCTCGCACTAAACCATGTCACCCAAGGCTCTGTCCAACCTGACCTTGAACACCACCAGGGATGGAGCATTCACAACTTCCCTGGGCAACCCATTCCAGTGCCTCACCACCCTTACAGTAAAGAACTTCTTCCTTACATCTAACCTGAACTTCTCCTGTTTAAGTTTGAACCCATTAACCTTTGTCATACCACTACAGTCTCTAATGAAGAGTCCTCCCCAGCATCCCTATAGCCCCCTTTCAGATACTGGAAGGCTGCTATGAGGTCTCCACGCAGCCTTCTCTTCTCCAGGCTGAACAGCCCCAACTTTCTCAGCCTATCTTCATATGGGAGGTGCTCCAGTCCCCTGGTCATCCTCGTGGCCTCCTCTGGACTTGTTCCAAAAGTTCCATGTCCTTTTTATGTTGAGGACACCAGAACTGCACACAATACTCCACGTGAGTTCTCACGAGAGCAGAGCAGAGGGGCAGGATCACCTCCTTCGACCTGCTGGTCACACTCCTTTTGATGCAGCCCAGGATACGGTTGGCTTTCTGGGGTGTGAGTGCACACTGAATGAAGCCAGCTCATTTTCATTTTCTCATCAACCAGCACTCCCAAGTCCTTCTCTGCAGGCCTGCTCTGAACCTCTTCTCTGCCCAGCCTGTAGCTGTGTCTGGGATTGCTCCGACCCAGGTGTAGGACCTTGCACTTGCATGGTTAAACTTCATGAGGTTGGCATCAGCCCACCTCACAAGCGTGTCAAGGTCCCTCTGGATGGCATTCCTTCCCTCCAGTGTTATCAACCGAACCACACAGCTTGGTGTCATCGGCAAACTTGCTGATGTTGCACTCAATCCCACTGTCCATGTCACTGAGAAAGATGTTGAACAAGACCAGTCCCAACACTGATCCCTGAGGAACACCACTCGTTACTGGTCTCCAGCTGGACATTGAGCCATTGACCACAACTCTTTGTGTGCAGCCATCCAGCCAGTTCTTTATCCATGGAGTGGTCCATCCATCAAATTGATGTCTCCCCAGTTTAGAGACAAGGATATCTTGCGGAAGAGTGTCAAACGCTTTGCACAAGTCCAGGTAGATGACATCAAATGCTCTACCCCTGACCATCAGTTCTGTAGCCCCATCATAGAAGGCCACCAAATTGGTCAGGCAGGATTTTCCCTTAGTGAAGCCATGCTGGCTGTCTCCAAGCACCTTGTTGATTTTCATGTGCCTTAGCATGCCTTCCAGGAGAATCTGCTCCAAGCTTTTGCCAGGCACAGAGGTGAGACTGACTGGTCTGTAGTTCCCCGGGTCATCCATTTTCCCCTTCTTGAAAATGGGGGTTATATTTCCCTTTTTCCAGTTGTTGGGAACTTTACCTGACTGCCATGATTTTTCAAATATGATGGACAGTGGCTTAGCAACTTCATTTGCCAGCTCCTTCAGGACCCGCGGATGGATTTCATCAGGTCGCATGTACCTGTGCACATTCAGGTTCTTAAGATGGTCTCGAACCAGATCCTCTCCTGCAGTGAGCCCAGGGTCTTCATTCTCACAGTCCCCGCATCTGCCTTCCAAGACTTGGGTGGTGTGGTCAAAGCATTTGCCAGTGAAGACTGAGGCAAAGAAGTCATTAAGAACCTCAGCCTTCTCCACATCCAAGGTAGCCAGTTGTCCCAATAGCTTTCGGAGGGGGCCTACATTGTCCCTAGTCTGCCTTTTATTCGCTATGTACCTATAGAATCCCTGGTATCCTTAATATTCCTAGCCAAGTTTAATTCTAACTGGGCCTTGGCTTTCCTAACCTGGTCCCTAGCTTCCCAGACACATCCCTGTTTTCTTCCCAGGCTGCCGGTCCTTGCTTCCACCTTTTATAAACCTCTTCTTTTCCTTCTGAGTTTCCTCAGCAGCTCCATATGCATCCAAGAAGGTCTCCTGGCCCTCCTGATGCACTTCCTTCTAGTTGGGATGCAACACTCCTGAGCTTGTAGCAGGTGATCCTTGAATATCAACCAAGAGTCTTGGGCCCCCCTGCCCTCTAGGCTATAACCCATGGAACCTTACTCAGCAGGGTCCTGAAGAGGACAAAGTCTGCTGTCTTGAAGTCCAGGGCAGTGAGCTTGCTGCACGCTCTTCTCACTGTCCTAAGGATCTCAAATTCAACCATCTCGTGGTCGCTGCATCCAAGGCTGCCCTGGAGCGTCACATTTCCAATGAGCCCTTCCCTGTTGGTGAGCACAAGGTCAAGCATGGCACCTCTCCTTGTCGGTTCCTCTATTACTTGCAGAAGGAAGTTGTCTTCCACACAATCGAGGAACCTCCTGGATTGCTTGTGCCGGGCCGTACCGTCATTCCAACAGATGTCAGGGTGGTTGAAGTCACCCATGAGAACAAGGGCCTGTGAGCGTGAGGCTTTTCCTATCTGTCTGTAGAGTGCTGCATCCACAGAGTCCTCTTGATCAGGTGGTCTATAACATATCCCCACAGTAATGTCTCCCATCGCTGTTTTCCCTTTAACCCTGACCCACAAACTCTCTGTTAACTGCTCACCTGTCCCCAGACAGAGTTCCATACTCTCCAGCCTATCCCTAACATAAAGGGCAACTCCCCCTCCCCGCCTGCCAGGCCTGTCTTTTCTAAAGAGTCTGTAACCTTCCATTCCAACACTCCAGTCATAGGAGCCATCCCACCATGTTTCTGTGATGCCTATTATATCATACCCCCGTAGACGAGCACACATCTCTAATTCCTCTTGTTTGTTCCCCATGCTACGGGCATTTGTATAGAGGCATCTGAGCCGAGCTCCAAATGAAGCCGGCTCATTGGCTGGAGCAGCTGGAATATCTCTGCATTGCTCCGAGCATTTATTATAGGTGCTGGCAACTGACTGGGAGTGTTGGGATGGAATGATGCCCCTGTCCCCCATCACATCTCGTTTAAAGCATCCTTGACCAGTCTGGCAAGCCTCCTACCAAAACCGCTGAACCAGCTCCGCCAGCCCCCACTAGACCTGGCCTACTAATTTGTGTCCCATGCTCAAGACACCCAAACCCCTGACTATGACACCACTGTTCTAACCATTTATTAACCTGGCCAACCCTCCTAGTCTTTTTAGGGTCCTCCCCTGTATCCTGCAGAACTGATGAAAAGACAATCTGAGCTCCAGAGCCCCTAACCACCTCTCCCAGGGCTCTGTAGTCCTACTTTATGTTCTCCAGGCTACTGCTCTCTATATCTCTAGCACCCATGTGGATCACTAGAAGTGGGTAATAGCCAGTGGGACTTACTAGAGCAGGCAGTCTCTCTGCAACATCCCTGATCCGTGCCCCTGGTAGGCAACACACCTCCCTTGAGACTGGGTCAGGCCAACAGATGGGTGCCTCTGTGCCTTAAGTAGAGTCCCTGCTACTACTTACCCTCCACTTCTTCCTCGCAGCACCTGTAGAGATCTTCACCAGTGTACCAGCTCATGGTGCGACTGTGTTTCCTCATCAGCCCCCTGCAGGACAGCAAAGCTGTTCTGGGTGGGAACAACAGATTTAGGAGGAAGCCTCTTGCTTTTAATTGTCCGCTTCCTCCTTTTTTTGTTGTCTTTTTTTTTTTTTTTTTTTTGTCACTAATTTCCAGCTTCCCGGGTTAACGGCCTCCATCTTTCCTTCATGAGCTAGAGAGGAAGCTTGAGGCCCCTGCACAGTTTGGGCCTGGAGCAAGCAATCCTGCTTCCTCTCACCTTCCCTGACATCCCGCAGCTCAGCCCCTGCTGCAGGAGCACCTCCACCAGGGAGCAGAGAGTGCAGCCCTGCCCATTGTGCACCTTTCCCGCACCAGACCAGTGCGGGCACTTTCTACACTCAGAGCTTTGCGCTGCAGCCTCCCCTCTCATCGGCTCTGCCTGGATGCCTACGCTGGCCACCGCCGGGGCAGCCAGAGCAGAGCTCCCAGACCGGGACCTGGCTATATGGCGAGTGTTCACCATCCCGCTCGCCTGCCCGCGCGAACTGCCTCGAACCCGCCCCGTTTGCCCCCCCTCCGGGGGCAGATTTTAGCCACGCAGGGCTGGCTCCGCCCCCTCCTGGCTCCGCCCCCTCCTGGCCCCGCCTCCTGTGGGTTCCTGCTCGCGTCAGCGGAGCTGCCGGCTTCTGGGCAAGACCTGGCCAGGGCTTGCGGCTTTTCTGGTGGCTCTTCTCGCTCTGAGTTGAGGCTCCTGGAGGCTGAGCTTCCCCCCTCCGGTGTTGAAGGCGTCCTCTCTCGAGCTGCTCACCTCAGCAGTATTACCCATATTATGGATATACTTGTAAGCAAGACTAATATTTGCTCCCATTTTCACCTGGAAAGCAGAGTGAAATACTTCACACAGACCTATGAAAACGGGTGAAAAGGAAGCTATATGAGACATTTTCCGCTAAACAGACCTGGCTTCTTTAACCTTAAAAATACCAAAGAGCTACTAACAGACTTATTTATTATAAGTAATACATTTAGCAATAGAAATATCAGCAAAACCAATTAAATTAATTGTGGGGCAAATATATTGACAAATACACTCCATTGTTCAGTGAAAGTGACCCTTGGCAGTCAATTCCCCGTGAGACTTACACAAAATAAGTTTTCCAGTCAGTTGATTCATACTTCACTACTTCAGAAAGCAAATTCAGCAGCCCCTTTTCCCCCTTTTAGCTCAGAAATAGCATACTTTTGAATTCAGTCTGATTCTGTCAAACTCACACAAGATTGCTGGAAATTCAGCAGAAACTACTGTTGTTAATTGATTCTCCTTGCCACTCTCATAACTATGGCTTTGGAAAGACATCTCTTCACTAGTTGAGCAGTTCCAGTTGGCCAGGGTTGATTTCTTTGTGGGGAACCAAGGCATTGAATTGTAATAAACGCGCAGAGCTTCTCCGTGTGTCCTGTGGCTGCCTGGAGGTTTAGGGAGCTCACATGTCAATCTCAAGTCAGGATTCAGAGAAGTCAGCTCCTGCTTCTGTTGAATTGCCAGCAATCTGCCCCAGATCCAAGAGCAGCGTACATAGCTTCCCACAGGCCAGTGCCCAGAATATAGTAACACTATGATGAGTTTATCTACAAGTTGGATTAAAGCTGTATTCCTGTTTTAGACAAAGTTTTTATCATCTAGTCTACCACTGTAGCTGGGAGAGAAGCCAGTTTCCATGCTCAAACCCAAACTGGTGGTATTTAGCAATTACAAGCAGCCCTTGAGAGATTTATTGCAGAGAACCTAAATGTTGGAGGAGAATGTTGACTGTTTGTTAACATAGCTTTTCCTCGTCTGTTTTACCTGCAGATTTGTGCAGGCTTTTTTCAGAAACTTTGCAGAAGTTTCCTTGGGAATACACCAGTACCTTTCACTCCTACTGATTTCAACAGGACTTGAGGCTAGCAGCTTTACACAGGACAGTGGCTCATTATACAGTCTTATAACTCACTCCACTATAGTGCCAGTCTGCTGTCAAGCCACAGGAGAAACTGCAGGTGTCCTCAAATTCCTACATTTTTGCCCTAGTTGCCTCCAGCAAGCTCCAGTACAGAGTTTCTCCAGAGATGAAGTTGTTGTCTGCTACTCTGAGCCCAGCATGGCCAGTCCCTACTGACAGTTAGGAACAGATCCCCTTAAGTTAGTAGATGCAACCTAAATCCAGGTATTATGTGAGGCACTTTGTTCACTAACTTTGATCATGCAAGTTCCATTTCAATTATTCATAGCAATTTGAATAAAGAATAGAGATACGTCCCTTAAAATAATCTGTAAAATGCAAGAAAGTCTTAGCCGGTAGGACAGCTTTGTAAGTTTGGGGCACTACTTTCTTTTTTTGTGGAAAATTGGGGCCAGCTAAAGATGACTAAAATTGGGCTGACCTGTAGTTTGTTGTTCTGTCAATGATTAAGGATGCTGGTCTTTTTTTACAGGAAGATTGTGGATAGAATAGATGACAACAAAGATGGCTATCTCACAACAGAGGAATTAAAGAACTGGATTAAACGGGTACAGAAACGCTATATCTATGAAAATGTGGCTAAGGTTTGGAAAGATTACGATCTCAATAAGGATGATAAAATTGCCTGGGAAGAATACAAACAAGCCACATACGGTTATTATCTAGGTAAAATAACATTTTCAGATTATATGATCAAAGACTGTTGAGATTATAAAGCATGATTTCATGCCTTACAGTTGGCAGGAGTTTGGTGTCACATTGAGGACTCTTGAGCATTGCATTAAATGTTACAGATAGAAGTCAAAAGCACTTCCTAGATGTTGCAGCCATTTCCAAAGTCACCAGTACGCAGAAAGTTTTGTAGAGGGATTATTAAATGTACTGACAAAGCTGAATTAAAGTCTCCTCCAATTAGAAATATATTACTTTTTAACATTAAAGATGGTAATTTAAAATAATACATTCTGTAATTAATCAGTATTTGTTAATTCAGTCTTTCTTAAAGAGTCTAGATGCTAAAAATTTAGGTTGGGTCTAAGCTATAGCAAAGTTATCAGTTAATGTCGTTCTTGCAGAATAATATGCTTAAGACTGCAAATGAAAATCCTTACCAAATCAGGCAAAAGAAGCACATTAAAAATATACCTGCATCTTTTGTTCACCCCACATACGTTCCCTTTGCTTTTTGTAAATTAATGAAGGAGGAGAAGAGATCACTAAAGGGCAGTGCTGACAGAACGACAAATCAGTATTAATTGACCATTTATACTTACTGGAAATAGAAGAAAATATGTATTTACCATAGAGGCAGTTTCTGGAATAAGCTTCCAGTAGCAGTAGTAATTCCAAAGACTACCTTAAAGAGGAGTTTATTACATTTGTGAAAGGAAATATTTAATGCACGATCCCTGTAGCAGTATGCTGGGAGCCCTTCTCAGCCCTTTGTCTCTGCTCTCTGTAATCCCCAAGATTTGGAGAACAGCTACTGCATTGTGGTCTTGTGTTTATGCACACTTAAAATTCCAGTTGTAATTCCTGGCCTAGTCTTTTTCAACTGCATTCATCTTCCAACATGTGAATTGAGAAATTGTTATGAGTACTTTTCATATTTGAAGTCAGTTTAGTGATCCTGTTTTAAAAAAATTACAAAGTCTTCCACCTTGTGAAACCACTTTTCTTTAGTTTGCTTGCTTTTTGAAACTGAAAACTTGTTTAGATCATATCAACTCTTAAGAAGAATAAAGCTTGTGTGAATGAAATCTACCCCAACTATTGCCTAAGCAGTACTTATAAAAGCAGATTAGAAAGGAAAAAAAAACCCAAATCTATGAAGGGCAATATACAATACTGCAAAATCCATTATCCTGGATTGCAGCAGACGGCTTAGTCAAGAATTTACCTATTCTACTAAATCACCTTTGAAAATCAAACCAACTACTCAGCTCCTGAATTTAAAACTTCACAGGAAAGATATGTTTCATTTTAACATGGCAGCTATTCTGACAATAAACCTTTGTATTTCTAGACTTTAAGAACAAATTGAGGTGCTTCACTGTGGTAATATGTTTTAAAACAAACATGCTTTTGAGATTGTCTTGATGAATTTGCAGAAAATCCAGAAGAATTCCAAGATGCAACCGATCAGCACAGCTTTAAGAAAATGCTACCCAGAGATGAAAGACGATTCAAAACTGCAGATCTGGATGGAGACTTAGCTGCAACTCGTGAAGAATTCACAGCTTTCCTTCACCCAGAAGAGTTTGAGCATATGAAAAACATTGTTGTCTTAGTAAGCAGAACAAAACCAATATCATTATTTTTGCTTTTATTTTTTGGATGAGCTATGAAGTCTTTCTCTGTCCTTTCCATACAGGGACACACACATAACAGCTAAGTGGGGAACAGAAAGGGATGCCTTTCCTCAAATTCACTTGATTTAGAATTCTCAGTACTTGTTAAATGCCCTTAAATAGCTCCTAAATGGATTCAAGAAACAGCGCCAACTTAAACCAATATAAGAGGAAGGCTTTGCTGAAATGCGGCAGCTAAGTGTTTGGTGCTTGTATCTGCATTTAACTTAAGTAGAGTGTCCAGTTCGTTCACGCAGGAATTTTTTTCAGCATGAAAGAGTATTTGTATATTCATTGCATAAACCACAGTCACACTGCAGTCCGAAAGAGTACCTTTGCCTCTACAAGGGCAGGTCAAGGCCTCAAAATATTGAATGATCGAAGAGGCGAGTAGCCAGAATTCTAAATTTGCTTAATTATGTTGATTCAAAACTGTTTTCCAGGAAACCTTAGAAGACATAGACAAAAATGGGGATGGTTTTGTGGATCAAGATGAGTACATTGGTAAGTGTTAAGATTCGTTTCTTATATAATCTCCAGTCCGTTTGTCCATCTTCTCTCCAATTTACAGCAGTATGATACAAAGATGAACATTTCTGTGCTCCAGTTCAATTGTTTTAAACCAACCATCCAACCCAGAAAGTTTTAACTTTATTTTAGGGAGATAGCCACATCACTGGCAAAAGCTTCCTTGCACACTACAGCATAAAATTCTCCTCTTACTATTGTATAATTTGGCTAAGAGGCTCTGGAATACAATATTTTTCATGATGGGAATATTCTCTGTACACATGACTATACTAACAGCTTTTTGAAGGCATTGTTTAGAAATACAGGAGGATCAGAGAGTGAGTTAATCTCTTCCCATTTTGAATGGTACCTGACTATGCAAAATAGCTTGGAAGCACACATTGCGAAACACAAAATTGACCTTTTTTTCTACTAGTTATTTTCCTAGTGTAATAGTAAGCAAAACCCAGTACTTCTCTAGCAGTGATGCCATTATGTTTCGTAGAGGAATAGAAGATGCATTCAAAATGAACTGTGCAAAACCAGCACCAAGATTTAAGATTCTTAGAGAAGTTGTGAAGTGTGTGAAAGTTAGCTGTGCAGAAAGAGCACAAAATGGGAAACATCAACAGCAGATCAGTCACAGTTAATTTGCACAAACCTCAGTCCCACGAGGCAGTTAACTGCTGTCTTGCACTTGGATGTATGAAGGCAGAACAGAAGCAGGACTAGGTATCAGCAGTACAGAATATGTTTTAGCCTTTTTGAGTCATTATGCTGATACCAAAAGCTACCTTCTCCCACTGCACTCATTTTGCTGGGTTTTAAGTGAAGAAAGTAGCACTAGGAAAGCATGAGTGCAAACTCAAGGTGAATCTTTCTGTTTCTGATGGTGCTATAAAGATCACTTCCCATATAATCAGGAACAATATACACACGTTAATTAATGGCAGGGGGTTCTATTCCTTGTAAATTATATTTAGCCTCAGAATGTGAATGCTATTCATTTATGACTGAAATAACAGAGCAGCATAATTTCCTCAGTAATTTCAGTTCATTCAGTGACATTACCTACATATAATTATAAGGTAATTGTCAACATTTGTTACCATGTGAATGCTGTTTTTTCATGTCTTCTATAGATAGGAACATAGAATGTTCTAGTCACGATCACCCCACACTGGCAAGGATGATAAAAATCAAATTGACAGGACATGTCAGTTGCTTCAAATAAACAATATAATTTGCACTTTAAAAACTGAAAAAAGAAAGTGAATGTGTTGTCTGAAGTTTTCGTCATGAGCTGAGGAATTCAATGCTTTAAATACTCCTACTTCCCCTTTTCAGATGTAATCTTTTTTTTTATGAAGTTGGAGATAAAAAACAAAGATAAAACTAAATCTCTTCTTTGGTAAATCTCTTCACCTAGGTGGAGCATCAGACACCTCAGGGGGCTTTCTCTGCTTAAACTCTAGTTTTAACACCATGATGCCAGAGACCTAGGGCACTTTCCTGGGTTGTGGACATACACAAGCAGGGTTCATGGCCCTTTTCATGTGCCCTTCTGCACCAAGTGCGGTGCCCTCTCAATACCTGTTTGCACACCCTGCTTGTAATCCCAGGCCAGTTGAACTCTCCCATGACTGGTCATGATGATGCCCAAGCTGCATCAGCCTCTAGTGAGGGCTGCCTGGCAGGGCCTTGTGCTTTTCCTCTGGTTTCCCTAGCTCCAGGAGCCCCCTGTAGACCTCAACCCAGTGCTCAGCCACAGAACTCGCTGTTGCCTCAGCTGAATGCCTCACAAACTGAGCACAAGATACAGCATAGGACTGATCAGAGCAGCTCATGTAATCTCTGCATCTTGTGTCACAGATGATACACCACCATCCCAAGGTACCAATCCACAACACAGAACACACCACTGATTTGTGACTTCTCCAGGTCTTTTTCAGTAGAATACCTTCTACTGGGGTATGCTGCAACACGTTTTAAAAAAGGACTCATCTACTCAAAATTAATTTCTCTTACAAAGATCTCTCTAAAAACAGGACAAAAGCAGTGAAGAAACCTGCCCAAGATAAACACAGCTAATCTATTTAGACCCACATTTCATTTTCTGCACAAAGAAACACTGTGCAAAGAGTGAAAAGTTTAGTATTCTGGGAAACACTATGTAAATGTCTTTAGTTTGTGAATAATTTGCAAATTAAATATGACTTGAGCAAGACCTTTTATTTGCTCTCCAGCTGATATGTTTGCAAATGAAGAGGGTGGACCAGAGCCTGACTGGGTGATTACAGAGCGCGAACAGTTTGCAGATTTTCGTGACATCAACAAGGATGGAAAGATGGACAAAGAGGAAATTCAGCACTGGATTCTCCCACAAGACTATGATCATGCACTGGCTGAAGCCAGACACTTGGTCTATGAATCAGATGTAGACAAGGTACTTAAGAGTTCTAGTATACTTTTAAAAAAGTTATATAACTTGTTATGGTTTTGGTTTTTGTTTGGTTTTTTGGGGGGAGGGGTTGTGGTTTTGGTTGTTCTTTTTTACCATACCATCTTGCAGGAATTTATTAATAAATTTTCTTACTGATACACTTTAAATGGATTTTTAGAGGCTAGAATTGCTAGTGCATTAATAGACCAGTGCCACCTTCAGTTGGTAGGGTTAGAATCTCAAAGTAGTAAAATACAGTTTATCAGCTCTGGAAGTCCATTGGATTAGATAAATTATTTATCATCTTAAACTTGGAAGTTTTAACACAGTAAAAAAAATACTCTTTAAGAGCAGTCACGATTTTTTTAATGCTAATCTGGACTACAAGAGAAAAATAAAAGATACATTACATAGGAGATAGCAAAACCAGCCCCCAAACCATTTCTATAATCAAACATAGATCTTTGGATTAAAGACTGGCTCATTACATCCTCCACCTGAAAAGCCAAAACACTCTTACACAGACAGCGTGTAAATTGCTAATATAAGCACCCATCTTCAGCAAAGTACACAAGAGGATTTTCATTTTTAGCATCAGGAAGGCAAACCCAAAGCTCAGAGCAAAACTCTACAGCAGAAAACAGTTTGACCCAAGTGAAGACAGTGGGACTTCTTTCTTCCACTGCTGTTCAGATTTCACTCACCACAGTTCCTGAACCTGCAGTCTGCTGCTTTGAAGCAGTATTTCCCAGGGCTCTTGTTAAGTCTGTGCTGGTGTGTCTTTTACTTAGCTTTGAAAATGTCCTTACAGAGATTTTATTTTCCTCCCACCAGGATCAAAAACTAACAAAAGAAGAGGTTCTAGACAACTGGAACATGTTTGTTGGAAGTCAAGCTACTAATTATGGGGAGGACCTCACAAGAAACCATGATGAACTATGATACAGTATACCAGCCAGTCTGCCACAGACCTTTTCTCCGCTTTACTGAAATCGGCATGTCCATCCGCTCTTTGGGAAAGATGGGCAAAGGACACACTCAAAATCAAGTTACTTGCATTAATGTATTTTTAACATGCCAGCTTATTACCTCAGAAACTGCGTAGAAATAGCTTTTTACTCTTTTCACATGGTTAAATACAGTATCTAATTACTGCAGTTTAATATGGGATAAAAAAAAGGTAACTTTTCTTTATATTAGATTCTGACCTGGAAGAGGCACTTCTAAAAACATAATTGCAAGGATCTTTAATAGTGAAATATTTTCTTCAAATACCCACTTTTACTACAGTGAAATGCAGCTAGGATTAGAAAGAAACTCAGTGTTTAAACAGACTAAATTATTTAGTTGTCTTTTTTTATAACATGTAACAATTCAGAGCTATACTTTGACCTGTGTGAATCACAGCCTTTTTCCCCACAGTTTTTCTCTCCTGGTTTTGGGTCAGAAATGCTGCAGAAGGTATCTAAGCAGCCCTCTGGTTCATAGCTTCACAAGTGCAATGTGTACAACGGGCCCTTTTCTCTAACCCCATCAAAGTGCAGAGACAGCACATGCAACCCAGTAATCTGTGCCCGCATTCCTCAGCGAGGGTTGTGGAGCTTAGAGTGACAGCTGCTCCTTCTGACAACAGAATAACATACAATTGTGGGTTGTTGGTCTGCTATTTCCTGGGAGGAATTATGCTACATGGAGCATAATTCATCTCACGCTTTTCGTGCTTTACCCAAGCCGTACTCTTGTTCACACAGTGTGAATGGCAGCAGTTCTGTGATGGAGAAAGAATGAGACATATCACCCCTCTGGGCCTTCTGTCTCCTCTGCGACATAAGAGGACAGATTTATGTGGCTAAACTTCTGGTTTTGTATTTATATACATATGAGTATGTGTTACTGAAGCAACTACATGAAGACAGCTTTCCTCTGAAAGAAAGGGGTAAGCTTTCCACACAGGTGCTTTGTTTTTTACTGTATAATGTGAGTGGTTACGTGTATATTTTTATATAGCCAACTTAGATAAGTTTGGTTGGTTTTAAATGTACTGGTTTTGAAACAAGCACAATAAAACAAGTACTTCTTCTTGATACTATTAAGGTGCAATAACACTAACACAGACTAGCATAGAGAGTTGATGTGAAAGCACACACCAAGCCTTTAGAGCCAGTAGTTCCCAAGCTCTGGGTCATTGGCAGCTTCTGCAACACTGGGTGGTCATCTGCAAACAGCTGCTGGACAGCAGCACCGTTTCTTCTTCACCTCATTAAGTAAAAGTTAGAAATAATTTGAATATACATAGTTGCTATTGCTAACACTACAATTTGTTCTGAACACTAGTACTGGGAGATGAGGGTTCCACCTCAGTGTTCACTTAGACATTCCTTCAAAGTCTGGTGTACAGAATCACACGCTGGTTATCGCACAACCATCCAGAGAGGAGCTTTGAAACTCCCAGGCTGTGATACACTTTAGCAATTTAGCAAGATTTTGAAAATCATCATAAGACAATGCAGAACTGTGACATCCATAAGCGGTGTCATTTTTATAAGGTTATGTATGAGCTGTGGTGAAATATTTACGTCTTCCAATTGAAGATAATTAGATACTATGGTCTGGCAGAGATTATATGTTCTTGTTAGCACAATTACTAAGCCTTTGGTGTGCATTTCTTACGACATTGCCAGCAATGTCTCCAAAAAGTCCCTACCTCTTCCATTAACATACAGTAGGACAAATGTCGTAAGTGAACTGTTTTTGCTTTTCCAGTACCCTCAAGTTAAATGCCTAAATGCAGTGTTATCCGAGAAGCAATAAAATTGTATCTTGGCACAAGTAAAAGATTATCTGGTTTGTTTATGACTTGGATATTGAAGTGTTGATTGTATTCAATAATCCTAACAATTCTGAGAGGTGTTTGTTGTTTGTTTTTTTTTTTTTATTTAAAGTATTTATTTCATACAGACATTTCATACATTTTCATATTTTGGTAACAGAACTGCAGTACTCTCTTTGCACTCAGATCTTCTACTGTTCCAAGAAACAATACCTTAGAAAACCTCAAAATAAAGCTTGTTTCCTGCAAATAAAACTGCAGCTCAGACTGGATACTGAGCAGATTTTCTCTGAAGCCCAAGGGAAGGTTGTTTACTAACTCTTGTTGAAATTCAGTAGGAGGTGGGTGCTGAGACGCTAAGTGTTGCCTTCAGCTAAACATGACACTTCCAAATCCACTGCATATACTGTCCCAACACAAAATTGCATCTGAGATTTGACAAGTAATCACATTTTCTTCCATGTCACTCAATTTGGAATAGAATTAGCATTATGTGAGAGAAATCATGTTCCTGTGTTTGTTTTCAATTTTTACTAATGCTTGGAACATATTTGGCATTTTCCAGTATTAAACTATATTTGCATGAATAAGAAAGCTAAAATCAGAAGAATTATTCATGAAAGCAGGAAGTGGAAATTTAAACCTGTAGTATTTTACAGTAAAATGTTTTTCTACACAAGAGTGATACTCTGACTATATCCAGCTATGAAAAAGGCAAACATAACAATTAAAATGAGGTTTAAATTAATTAAATTATTAATAATGGGTAGGGGGGGTCATCATAAGATTAGGAGCTTTTTTTAAAAAACACAATATAGAAACATATTTTTAGAGAACGTCCGTATCACTGATGTGATTTCACTCTAAATGCTACCCTCTTCTTTCTACAGCTCTTCATAGTGTTTCACTTACCAGCATCCAGTAATGCACAGTACATTCTGTGCATTAAATTTTCCTTTCAAGCTCAATGCACTAAGGAAGAGTAACTCCAAAAGAGACTAGAGCTTCTGGGTTTAAATTTAACACTATTTAAGGAAAGCAAACCTTTGCTAGGGGATATGACTGTTAACATTGTGATTTTTCAAGCTTAAGGTTTCTAATGGGCTTTGACTGTTCCAGAGATAACATTTTTTTTCCTAGGTAATATATTTCAAGTCATATTATGAGCAAATGTTACAAAATTTTAGTGTAATGTGAAATACTGTAATGTCAGATAGCATTATTTATCTGCTTAATGTGACTAAACCCATTAATTGCTGGGAGCCATACTTCATCCCAGCAACATGAAAATCCATTTTGTGCCTATCTTGTCAGTTATTGCCTATTTTCTTAATGAATTGTGATGTAGTGAAATTCTGTTGGGAAGTGTGTTTATGTATTTCCAACTGCAGGTTCTGTATGGTATCTCTTATTACATAGATCCTCCATTAACTCTATGTTTTCATTATGCCTATGCCACAACATATCAAAGGTGCGTTTTTCTTACTTGGATATCTGGAATAGCCATTATTATTGCACATGCAGTTTTAATTATTAGAATTTATGAAATGAACTAGGTGGCTCATGTTCATTCTTATATTTCCATTTAATGATTCAATCAGGTTAAGTCTGTCTCCTGTTCCAGTCAAGGTGCTTCACATAACTCCCTGAGGAAAGGAGAACACAACCCATCCTGATGTAATTATACTTACACGAGCATCGTACAATAGTTGTATATTGCTTTATTATTTGCAGTGCAGAAGTTGATCCTTATCCCAGTGAAGTTAATGGCAGAACTAGTCCCTGTGTAGAGAGACTAAGGCCTTGGACACCCAAAGGCAAGCAGAACAATAGGATGGTGGGTCTGAGGTTAGAAATGACCTTACTACCATCAGATCATGATCTCCTTACAATAACTGAATACCAGTTTTTATGAATATAGACTGATTCATAACTCATAAAAGAGAGGGCATAAGTCTATTTCATGGAAGACAGCATCTAATGTTTTACTGGTCTGTTCAAATAAACTTTGCCGTTTCATTGAAAGATGGTTGCATCACTGCTAGACAGCAAGTTGCTGTCAGCAAATGGAGCTGGTTTTACAGGGTGAGAGGAGGAGCCACAGAAAACATTTCAAAGCCAAAGGTCTTGCAAAACCTTACTTGGCTTGGAGTCAAATACTTGAAACATCCACCACTAATAAGCTGTACCCTTCTGTTCATTACTCTGATTTCGTGTGTGCTATATTCCATTTAAGATGTCCATCAAGAAGCATATTAACTATATTTACTAATTAGAAGGGTAGAACTTAGCATGATTTTCCACGTAACTTTCAGGCACCAGTAAGACTGATGTCCCTCAAACTCAAGTGCTGTACAGATTATTCCAAACATGATGAATTTCAAAGCAGCCTCAGAAGAAAAAGTTACCAGGTTTCCCATAGTGTGAAATAGTGTGCAGGGGGCATACATGGCATAGGTGACACAACAGGCAATTTCACACCTGCATTCTCTTATCTCCACAGGATAAGGTAAAATATCTCTGACAGATAGGGGTATCTCTTCACTATGACAATGTGCTGGTTTTGGCTGGGGTGGAGTTAATTTCCATCATAGTAGCTGGTGCAGGGCTGTGTTTTGGATTTGAGCTGGAAACAGTGCTGATCATACAAGGATGTTTCAGTTCCTGCTGAGCAGTGCTTACACAGAGCCAAGGCCTTTTCTGCCCCTCACCCACCCCACCAGTGAGTAGGCTGGGGGTGCACAAGGTTCAGGGAAGGGGACACAGGCAGGACAGCTGACCCAAGGGATGTCCCAGACCAGACGGTGTCATGCTCAGCATATAGAGCTCGGGGAAGGTGGGGACATGGGAAGCAATGGCGTTTGTCTCCCCAAGTAACCAAGTTACATTGTGATGGGGCCCTGCTCTCCTGGAGATGACTGAACACCTGCCTGCCCATGGGAAGCAGGGAATGAATTCCTTGTTTTGCTTTGCTTCTGTGTGCAGCTTTTGCTTTACCTATTAAACTGTCTTTATCTCAGCTCATGAGTTTTCTTTCTTTTGCTCTTCTGTTTTTCTCCCCCACCCCACCAGGGAAGAATGAACAAGCAGCTTTGTGTTGCTTTGCTGTAAGTTGGGGCTAAACCACAACAGCCTCTGTCAAGAATACAATTGTCATATATATGCATTATTATTTCTACTGATAATTAAAGGGTATTAAATTTCAGCACAAGTGTTGGCTCTGATAAGGGCAACAAAGTTCTGGACCTCAGTTTCATATACTGCGTGTTTGTCATTGTGGAAGAATTTATTTCATAATAGCAAAGTACCCAAAATATGATCTGGTTGGCTAGCATCTGAGGTTTAGTATTTGCCTAAATGTTTTGTAGTTGGTCTCACGTTTGTGGTCCTAAACCCTGACATACCTGAAATTCCAGAACAGCTATATAGAACAAGTCATGACATGATACTGAATAGTAATTATGGGAGACATGTACCTTAGAAATGACAATGTCTCATCATATCAACAAGATTTTAGATACTCATCAAGGCACTTTCATAGTGAAGTGGGAAATGTTTTCTTTACATAGAAATACCCTGACAAACTTTAAAATGAAAGTCTACTGGACCAGTGGGGGTACAAAAACCTAATGAAAAATTAATACGGCTTTTGAAGACATACCTTAATCCCCAGTACAGCTCCTTGGTGCTTTTGAGGATGGTGGTATGGTATCACAGAAAGATGAGCTGATAATGCCACATTCTCAAAACAGTTCCGGTACAGCACTGCCCAGGAAACTGTTGTCACTGAAGATGCTGCATTTGTACTTAGCAGACTGCTGAGATTTAGGTAAAAATAAAGTCCAAAAAACAAAAAAAAAGTCTATTCAATAGGCTGCTCCAGCATGTACTATATTCTCCCAACTGAGGCTGTTGTTGCATTCTGAGGAAGTTACTGGATGCATGACAGTGAATGTTGTGTTGTTCACAATGAATCCTACCACTACCATTCAAGTTAACAAGTTGGTATCAAGGCCACGGTACCTATGAAGACAAAACCTAAAATCATTCTAATTTTCAATTACTGAACTGCCAAGAACATGGCTTCCTCAGGACTCTTCAGGACATATCTTCTATATGGATAAAAGCCAGTAAGTTTAATGTTCAGGAAGGAAAAAAAAAAGGGATGGGGGGCTTTTACCATTAGATCAATAGTAACATAATGCAGACATACCACAGATAGTATTGGCTGGATTGGCAGGGTAGATACATCCCCCCCAAATTACTCACAATGCCTCCCCCCCAGCTTTATATTTAGCTAAACTGAAGTTCTGCTGACATGGCTTTCATTGCATTTTACAGGGCCTGTGTTGCTGGGACAGAGAAGAAAGGAATGCTAGCTGGGAATGCATCAAATGAAGTGCAAAAGAATTCCTGAATCCTTTAGTTGGTAAGATTTAGATGAAACAACTTAAAATCACAGGAAGGATGGGTTTTTTTTGTTTGGTTTTTTTTTTTTTTTTTGTTGTTGTTGTTGTTGTTTTTTTAAAGAGGTGAATTTACAAGTGAATCCCCACAGGCAGCAGAAATGAAGAGAGTGGCTGGAGAGGTATCCTAAGAATCTAACAAAATCAAAAGCTTCCTTCTTTATCCCTGCTGTTCATTTAAACGATTTTTGCATTAATTCCTTTGCCTGAATCTCCTATTCTTTCCTTGTCCTTAGATTTTAAATTCCATTAGCAGTACTGACACAACATTTCTAGGAACCCCCAAACCTCCCCAAGTCACTGATAACTTTGAAATGGTTTATGCTGAAGAAAGGAAGTTTTCAAAACTATTATGTCTGCTCTAAACTGGACGCAGCAAAGTATAGTTAAACAAAGAAACTAAATGCAAGTGATTAAAAGGAGTATTATTCCATTACTCCTAGCTATATTAGTAAAAGAAAAATACGTCTAATCTGGAACAGACAGATTTAGGGTTATACTTCTGGTATACTTCTGGTAGGCAGAAATACAGAGTACTG